TAATTAAAAAGGATTTAGTGCTATTAAAGAATAAAATATCAGAACCCCAGAGGAGGCATAATTGCAAGATGAATTGTGCAGCTTCACGGTTTCCAAATCCACATGGTGTTATTGGCAGCTGGCCTTCAATTATAAGAAGGTAACAAGAAAAAGCACATAGCCAGTGACAGTGAGGTGAGGCGCCTGCTGTCCCTTAAAGGAATACTGCTCCCCTTGGAGGTTTCTGCACTGACTGAACTTTGAGACAGCCACTGCTCAAGTATAACTCATGGTAATGTGACTGACTGCAACGTGGATAGCAAAATGTGCAAAGTTTACCTGGTGTTAGCTTCAGTGCTACCAGAAACTGAGTAGGCTTTCTGGGTTTTCACTAAAGGCAAGGTTTGGCCCAAGACACGACAGACATATGGGAACAAAAACTTCAACTCAGGCAGCCAGAAGTATCTGAAATTTGCCTTCAATAAGCTTTGGCCACAGTCCAAAATCTGTGCTGGAAACTTCACAGAACAAATCCTTCCAGCAATAACCTCCCTCCTGCTACTTCAGCATCTCCCCATGAAGACCTGCCCAATGGTGGGAGTTGCATAAGAACTAGAAGCAAAACAAAGAGCTGGAGTGAAATAGCCCATACAGGTTTGAAATTGCTGTAGTTCACTGTTTCAAAGATGTATAAGCAGAGTCTTAGAAGAACAAATACAATCTTGTCTTACCAAAAGCTTTGGTTTGTTTTTTGGGGTTTTTTTGTTGGTTGGTTGCTTTTTTTTTCGCGGGGGGGGGGGGGGGGGGGGGAGCCGGCTCTGCCTGTTTTCCCCGGCCTGACGCAGCCGGAGCAGGATCCGGTGCCGGAGGAGTTAACCCTGATGCAAGGAGAGGCGAGAGCCAGCGGCCCCATTCCCCTATCGCTCCCGGGACTCTGGGGCTTTCCAGCGCACGTGACCCGCAGCCCACACGGGCCTCGTGACGAGGGGAGGAAAAAAGCTGCAGCCAGCAGATAATCGCCCCGTAACGAGAGGCCTCCTAACGAGAGACCTCGCCAGCCCCAGCAGCTGATGCCACCGCAGGGGAAAAAAAAAAAACCAAACCCCAACCCCAACCACCACCCTGCAGCAGGGCTTTAACCCTGCAGGGACCGGGGCGGCCACCCCCTCCGCCCCCATTGCTGAGAACGGGGAAAACTCAGCCTGCAGGGACCGGGGCCGCCCCCCCCTCCGCCCCCATTGCTGAGAACGGGGAAAACTCAGGACACCTCAGAAATTCAGCCCCTGCCCCAGGAGGAGGGTAAATGTGGAGGAACGAGGGGGCCGGAGTGTTTTGGCCCCCACCTCTGCTGTGGCGCACCCCGCATCGGCCAGGCTCTGCCCTCCCTGGCACATGAGCG